AATTGATTATGTCCATATGGTTAATCGATTAGGTGGCGTATAACACTAATTTTAGTTGTACTTAATGGATTAGCTCTGTAGTGTTATATTTTGTCAGGCCCTAATTAGGAGTACAAAAAAAAAAGGATAGCATCTAAAGGAGAGCTAGGACCCAAAAGATAGCACATGGTTGCCACAAGATAACACATGCTAGCCCAAAAGTGGTCGCCCACGGGATAGCACCTTCTAGCCCAAAAGTAGTCACCTACGGGTTATCACTTATTATCTCAAACATGGTATCTCATACGCTAGAATCTGCTAGCCTAACAAGGGGTGAAGGTTCCATATTGGCCTTAGGCTAAGATTCATAATCCATAGAGCCAGTCAAAGGAGAAACCACTTTTTCCATGATTCTAGGAAGACTAAGCCTTTCCTTGATCACTTCCTTGGTCATGGAGTTAGGGTATAACCTCCCACTAACTCTAAACCTAGGTCCAAAAAGGCATATATAAATATCTCTCCCACAAGGGGGGAGGGGACATATCTTAAGCCATACACATCATTACACCCTAAAGTATAACACTTGGCAAGATCGTAGCTCATATGATCGCACCCCATATTCACTTATACCTATGCACACCGATCATATACAGAGCCTCCAACCTCACGTGAGCAGGACTCATCAAACCACCATAAAACACGATTCTACAGTGCTTCTCTCAACCATGAGCAAGACCTAACCACCATACAACATAATATGTCTACAAAGACCTTTGAGTCTCTCTGCCCTTACAGGAGGAATACACACACATATACTTTTTGACCAATACAAGCTTCTTATGGTTAACCAATTAAAAACCATTTTTAGTCTCCTTGGACTATGGAACTTGGGATGCATTTTTACTTTATTCCATTTTCTTACAAAAAAAATGCACTTATTGGCTAAATATTTAATTTTTTTTGCATTGCAACCTTGCTGAAAAAATAAATTTAACTCAACCAAAAAATATGTTAGTGATAAAATAATATTCACTAAGCATAAAAAGATCATCCGCTAGATGATTTAATTATTATTTTTTTAATTTAATCTTTGTCAAGTGTTTTATCTCATAAATCTCAAGGTATCTTGAGAAACTCCCTTAAAGAGAGAGCGATAAACCAGTATCAGTTTTCCATCACTACAGATTGTTTGATACGAGATTTGGTTTTAAAATCTTCTTGAGTGACACGGTCATCAAATATCCTTAACCTCAAATTCCCAAGAGATTCCATGACCACCAAAATTACCATAGTAGTTGAAGAACACCATCAACACTATCAATCATCATCTTGATCAAACATTATCAGGATCATTAAACACCACCAAATGACATCTTTCAATTATATATTTAGAATAATGACAGGGTCACAAGTCAGGTTGTGCGACTTCGGACCCAAAAGTGGCACCTAACCCAAACTGCAGTTGAACTTTAAAGGCCCATTTTCGTCGAAATTTTCATACGGTTTTGACACGTTGTCTTCGAACGAGTGCAGATAACTGCAAACACTTTATTTAAGTTATTGATCTTCTCATATTCTTATCCCAATAATATTATCAGACTTTTATAAAATTTAATTATTTTACGTCGTACTGATTTCCAAATTATAAATGTACCAACAATTTTATCACACATCAATGGCGCTTTGATAATATCAATTATCAATGACCTAGTTTTGAATGGCGCCCTTAAGCAACTAAATCTATTTAATATTCTAACAATTTTAAATCATGCTAAACTTAATAATACTAATTGATCGATACAAACTAAAAATTAAAATGAATTTACATTGAAATCAACTCATTTAAATTTTAAATTTTCATCCTCTTAAATCTACGACTTGTCTTCTTAAACTTGAATAAAGCGCTTCATTTATCTAAAAAAAGCTACTAGTAAAATGAAATTAATTAAGATGGACAAGAAGTAGACAAACACAGTGGCGGATATTGTCTAAAATGTTAGAGAGTGTCATAAATAATTAAATTATTATAACTATTATACTCTAAAATTATATATAATTTTATAAAAATAAATCAACACAACAATCACTTTAATACATATTTTTATAACAAAAATGATATATATATATATATATATATATATATATATATATATATATATATATATATATATATATATATATATATATATATATATATATATATATATATATATATATATATATATATATATATATATATATATATATATATATATATATATATATATATATATATATATATATATATATATATATATATATATAGAATAGGAGTAAATAATCAAATTTCTATAATATTTTCCAATATGAGAAATTAATAAGTAATATATAAATACTCATTTAACAAATTTATAGTTATAAATTGTTAGTTTAGTTAAATTAAAAAATAGAAAAGAAAAAACTCAATAGATCTTTATATCATAAATTATATATCATCGAAATTAATTATACAAATACTTTACTTTAGTCCATGAAAGATGTTGTTCATTGTTTTAAGATATTTAATATAAAATAATTCTTTAACATATATACACTCATCTCTCTTTTGAGGGATGTTCAAATGACTCTAACATTCTCTTTAATTTTTAAGCATGTATTTACCTCCTCCAAAATATATTTAAATGATATCGGCATTCCATATAGTTTTTAGTGACAGTCAAAAATCGTAGGTATAGATGCACTACGCCAAAAATGATTTTTTGTATCACCTAATTTAATAGCACTTTTAAAAAAATGCTATTAAAATAGAAAAAACACATTTATAATAGCACTTTTTAATCGGGCGCTATTATATAATACAGACTATGTAATTTTGATAGCACTTTGTACCAGAACGCTATTATTAAACTTCTTTAAGATAGCATTTTGTATAAAACGCTATTATTTGACTACCTATATAATAGCATTTATTAAAAAGCGCTATGTTATATATAATAATGAATTAATTAATTAATTGATAAAAAAAAAAAACAAAACACAATTAATCGATTCTTCTTTTCAATCCAAGCAGTACGGCGTCGCCGAACTCAAAACCCTAGGTAACGAACTACTCTCATCAGCCTCTAACATCAACAACCTCCCCCTTCTTCTCACCTTTGTCTCACCTTCTTCTCCACCTCGAATCGCTTCTCTCTCTTCATTCTTTCTTCCTCCCTCTCCTCCCTCAACTACCTTCCTCCTCTGCCACTGCCAACACCTCCTCCTCCGACAACGCCGATGCCGACCAGTCTGAGTTCATTTACCTCACTTGGCTCCGTTCGAAGTTCGATGAGTTTCTTAAATCTCTGATAGATGTTCTTGTATCGGATCAATCTGATGAAACTCTGAAGGAAGTTGTGTTGGATACGTTGATGGAGTTTGTGAAGGTTGCTAATGGCGGCACCTTTCATTCTTCGTTGTATAACAGAATTATCAGTAGTATTGTAAGTTTCTCATTCTAATCGTAATTCTACTTTGTTATTTTTGTGCTCATAGTTTGATATATGATATTTTTGTTTTGTTTTGCTTCATCAGATTCACTCTGCTAGTTCTGCTGAATTTTTGATTGATTTACTAACATCAAAGTATTTCAAGTATATTGATGTCAGGTATGATTAATGAAGGGTTTTTCTTTGCATGTTAAATTGATTCGTTTACTCTGTTTTATGAGTTTTTAACTATTGTTTAATTCTTGATTGCTGAACTATTTTGTCACTCGGTGTAGTTATTTTACATTCACAAGTCTAGAAAAGCTAGCTAGAAATTTGCAGGGGAAAGATGTTTCAGGTGATTTTCTAACTTAGCTTTTAATGTTCCAATTTTTGATTTGCAAAATTGCAGATAGGAGATTTATGTGTTCTATTTCAATTTCTCTAAATATTTGGGTATTCTGATTGGGTAACTCCTTTTCTTATCTTTGTTATTAGATGATAAAACTGCAAGTGTAGATGGCAATGATGAAAGTCAATTGAGCTCAAAGTTAGTAAAATCTATAGACACTGGTTATTTCTACTCTTTGGTCTTAAGTGATTTGTATCTCGCATGTTTTATATACAAAAATGACTTCTATTTTTATCATAAAAAATATACGAAAATGACATGTAATGTCATACAATATGCTATACTATAAGCAATATATTTATCTTTTCAACTCAATGTATAATGAAAGAAAGCAATTATAATTTTTCTGCCAGGCAAACTTGGTCTTAGTTTTGAAACTAGGAGATGGATAATTTACTTGTAAATGTACTTAATTTGTTCTATAATTCTAATTTTGATTTGAAAATGTATCTTTTGCAATATTGAGGGTGTCATCCACAATATGTACTATGCCATTTCACATGTCCCCTTTCTTGAAAAACCTGATGATAAATCTGATTTTGAAATGTGGAGTGTATCAGGTGAATGCTTGCTTATCACTTTTAGGCTCTTAAGATTTTCTTTTTACAATGTTTTATTTCACTATTTAGTGCTTCTTCTCTTCATTTTTTCTTCAGTAATTTGCATAAAATACTACTTTTTAGATTAAGTAAAAAGTATCTAGGGACCCAATAAATGAGGGTTTTATGACTTTGAATGATCCATCTAGCCGATAGTGGGAATAGGCTTGGTTATTCTGGTTGTACGAAAAAATTGGTCTGTACATTTATATTTTGTAATCTGGTTTTCCGTAGAGAGTGATCATAAAGTGCTTTCTGGAGATCTGGATGATAAGCAGCTCAAGTCCAAGAAGCATAAAAGTAATGTAACTTACCTCGAAGCACAATTCCATAATTTTAACTGTTGCAGGTTAATGAATTAAGTATTTACCATCTCTATCTCCTTCCGTGAAACTAGCACATGAATTTGTACATTTGAAAACTCGTATCATCTTTTTCGATTTGTATGCATGATTTAAATCAGCATTTTTCTGCTCAGGTTGCTGTATCTACCAACAGAGAAGTTGATACATATATCCCCAATCCAAGCTTACCTCCCCAGCTTGTCAACTTCATAATCTGACAATGCATGTAAGGCTTGTTTATTTTGATTTCCTTGTTTCATATTCTCCCATATGCTTATTCTAACACTCTTATTTATTTGTTCATTTTTGTTTGATTCAGGCAGATACAGAGACAGATGAAGTGTATGCACAGATGACCTTGCAACCTCTAAATCCTGTATGATTCCCTTTCTTAAATGAGCTAGTTTTTCTTTATATAAATTTTATGTCGAAATTCAACTTTTAAATTTTTGGCTACGGTCGTGTTTTCAGGATGAGCAAAAAGAGGCATATCATCCTGCAGAGTTGGGAACTGCAAATAAACAGCCAACAAACTATTTCTGCAAAATTTTGACTGCCAGTGATACAAGCACTCATGGGGGTTTCTCTGTTCCTCGCCGCGCAGCTGAAAAAGTTTTCCCTCCATTGGTAAAATTTTGTCTGTAATTTATAAGTAAATTAACACGTTCATCATATCTTTTAACTCGACTTTGTAATTATGATCTACAGGACTTTTCCCAACAGCCTCCTGCTCAAGAGTTAATTGCCAGGGATTTGCATGGTAATGACTGGAAATTCAAACATATCTTCCGCGGTGAGTTATGAATCTGAGTTTGGGCACCTCTTTTTGGTTCTAAGCATAGGATTTTATTATTTCTTTTTAATTTTTATCTGATTAAATTTTTTAGTTTACTTCCCTGAAAAGCTTTTCATGTTTATTACTTGGTGATGAAAATAATTTCACATTCCATTTATAAGGTTTAAATCTGCCGTCTTTTTTTCTCCAGGCCAGCCCAAAAGGCATTTGCTTACAACTGGGTGGAGTGTCTTTGTGAGTGCTAAAAGACTTGTTGCTGGTGATTCAGTGCTGTTTATATGGTATATAATTTTCCGGTTATTGGAAAAGTCTTGTTGTAACACGTTCATGTGTTTATGTTTTTGTTCATATGTTGAGCCAGTGTTCCTTCAATGGGTTGCTATTAAAGTGTGGTTACGATTCATTTTCTTATATAGTTTTTCTAATCCAGGCTTTATGATTTCATGTGAAGCATATTTAACTTCATTAATTACGTGGTATTTTATGATTGGTGTGATTCAGGTGCTTTTTTCTTTGGCAGGAATGAAAAAAACCAGTTGCTTCTAGGCATTCGGTGTGCCAATCGCCCACAACATATGATGCCTTCATCAGTGTTGTCAAGTGACAGCATGCACTTGGGGCTGCTTGCTGCTGCAGCTCACGCCGCTGCAACGAACAGTCGTTTCACCATTTTCTATAACCCACGGTATAATTCATATCATATATTTCTTGATGATTACTTCAATGCAAGAATTTCTGACTTTGGACTAGCCAAGTTGATGAACATGAATCAAAGCAAAACCAACACTGGCATTAGGGGAACAAAAGGGTATGTTGCACTTGAATGGTTTAAGAACATGCCTATCACAGCTCAAGTGGATGTGTATAGTTATGGAGTAGTGCTACTTGAGATTATTTCATGTAGAAGATGTGTTCAAGAAATGGAACAAGAAGATGAAGAGAAAGCAATATTAACTGACTGGGCTTATGATTGCTACAAGGATGGTGCTGTAGATGCATTGGTTGAGGGTGACAATGAGGCATTGGATGACAAAGAAAAGTTGGAGAAATTGGTAATGATTGCAATTTGGTGTGTTCAAGAGGATCCAGTTCTTAGACCAAGCATGAGAAATGTGATACATATGCTTGAAGGTACTGTTGAAGTGCAAGTTCCACCATACCCCTCACAAATTAGTATTCAATATTCTCTAATTTAATAACTTGGTTTGCAAGATTTGCAGATTGTGCTAATCCTTGTTTTATTGTTTTAATTGAAACTGTAAAATTTGAATTTATGTCTGTGTATCAAGCTGTGGTTTTTTGTTCCTTGAACAGTAGTATTTGAGGTTCAAGATTGATTAGTTTACTGGGTATGAATAAACTTGATTACCCAGTTGTCTTGGATAGTTGTCTTGGATAATGTTAGTTTAATTATAAATTATCATATGTTTTCTACAAAATAAAATGCAACGTTAAATAGTTTACATATTATGATTAATCTAATTATATTTTACTAGATAGATTGCATTTCAAATCAATTTCCAGTTTGTGTGTTTGTACAATATTATGATTAATCTAATTATATTTTACTAGATAAAATGCATTTCAAAACAAACTTTCTGTACAAAATTATATTTTATTGGTTTAGAAGATATGGCACAGAAGATATTGTACTGTACTTATTAAAAATATTGTACCAAATATATACCATTTATTAGCACTTTATTTGAAAGTGCTATCAAACATATGTTATATATTAGCGCTTTTTGTTTAGAGTGCTATAAAAAAACAAACAAAAAACATGCAAAATACTGACTTTGATAGCACTTTAATTAAAACGCTATTATAAATTGGTACTTTAATAGCGCTTTTAAAGTGCTATTAAATAAGAAATATTTACAATAGTGGCGCGGTTAATAGCACTTTTAAGCGCTATCAAAAACAAAAAAAAACGCTATTAAATAGCTTATTTGGCGTAGTGATGACATTTACCTACAGTTTTTTGTTTGTTACTATAATATTTCGTTGGTATATGTATGCTTATGAAAGATGAGTGAATGATTTAAAACTAGAAGGGTGCCACAGTCATTTTAACAAATCTCAGGGGATGTGAATGTAATTTTCCCACACATATATATATATATATATATATATATATATATATATATATATATATATATATATATATATATATATATATATATATATATATATATATATATATATATATTAGAAAATAGATGTTGTGGCTAGAAACTTGGGAGAAAAGGAGAATCAAAATACAACTAAAATGATTATAGGATCTTTGAACATTAGAGGGAGAGGAAGCAGATTAAAGAGGAGAAAAATTGGTCATATTATCCAAAAGAAAAAGGAAAATTTATTAATGATTCAGGAAACCAAAGTTTCATCTTTGATTGATTTGGTGGCCAAGAGTTTTTGGAGTAAAGAAGACATTGATTACTCCTTCTATGATTATATGGGGAAATTGGGTGGTCTTTTGGCCCTTTAGAAGGTTGATCCAGTTGAGGTTTTGTTCAACTTTAAAGGTTATAGTTACTTAGGCGTTAAGGTTAGATGGAAAAACTTCTTTTACTACATTTTCAACGTGTATTTCCCTTGTGTGTTTTCCTTGAAACGTGCTTTGTGGAATAATTTGTTGGAGCTTAAAGCAAGACATACTAACAGAGAGTGGTGTTTTGGTGGGGATTTTAATGATGTTAAGAGTCTTAGGGAGAGAAAAGGAAGGTTGCAACATTGTAATAATTTAGAGATGAAGGAGTTTGGTGAGTTCATTGAGGATAGTTCCTTTGTTGATATTCATTGCAAAGGTAAAAAGTTCAGTTGGTTTAGCAGCGACGGGAAGGCGATGAGTAGGATTGGTCGTTTCTTGGTTTCAGACGAAATTATTAGTATATTGGGGGTGGTCGGTCAACTTATTGGGTTGAGAGATATTTCATATCATTGTCCGATATGGTTGGTGGTGGATAAATCGGATTGGGGACCTAAACCATTCAAATTTAACAATTAGTGATTTAAGGATAAAGCCTTCATTTCTTTTGTCTAGAAGGAGTGGAAATAGTTGGTTATGGAAGGGAGAGGCGATTTCGTTCTTAAGAAAAAAGTTAAGGTAGCTTAAAGAGAGATTGAGATGGTGGAATTCTAAGGTGTTTGGGAGGATTGATCTAGAGTTCGAAGAGGGGGTTATGGATATGAATGGGGGGGGGGGGGGATGATCAAGAGGGGGATGATGGTGGTTTAGATTTTAGGAGGACGACGTCTAGGCGGTTTTGGTTGAATCTTAAGATAAAGGAGAACATGCTTATTTAGAAATCCAGGTTAAAGTGGCTTAATGATGTTGACAACAATAATAGGTATTTTCATTGTGTCATGAAAGGAAGGAGAAGACTTAATTACATTGGCTCGATAAATTTGTCCAGAGGGATTTTAGACTCGGCTAGGGAGGTCAAGGAAGAGATATTGAAACACTTTGCTAACAATTTTTCCTAGTTTGATGTTGTCGCGGTGAAAATTTGAGGAGACCAAGCTATTGAGGAACTTGACTCACAAAGACTTAAGAAGTCACCACTGAACTTTATTGTTTCCAATAAAAAGAAAAGATCGAAACCCTATTATTTAACATGCAATGCAAGGAGTAAATACTAAAAGCAAAGCATAATAAAGAGATCCAAAGTATGGGGGTTGGTTATACAAATGGAAGGTATTAACACCCTATGTATCTATAGTACTCTATAGGAATCACTTATAATATCTATTTTTTGGTTTAAAATTGTTTGTTTGTTAAATGAGTGTGGAGATGGGAAAAGAAATATATTTTAAGATATTTTTGTTTGGAAAGACATAGTCTTATACCTATGTACCAACTAAGGATCAAAACCTCGTAGTTCATGGTAAAATAAAAAAATGGTTTATTGTGGTTTATTTTAGGAGAAGAGATATTTCATCATCTTTTAGAGAGAAAGCTCAACTGATACCACCACAAGTATGAGAAGATGGATCTTGCACCATCGTGAAAGAAGGGCTACTAACTTGGATATGAAGATCAACAAGTTTCCAACTAACGTCTTCATATGGAAAAAAATCACATTTACTTTGACAATTACTATGGGGATAGGAGAATCGTATCTCAACTATAAAGAGGATTTATATCTAATCTATTTGAGAAAAGGTTTTAAATTGAAAAGTCAAGTGGCAAAAAGATTTGGGTCAGGTTAAGTCACTTTAAGACTTTTGAAAGAGTTTTGATAAGCTTTAAGTATATTGAAGCATTTGGTTAAAAAGAAAGTTTAAAAATGCAATGACACAAAGTCAAGGTTTTTTATATGAAAGTGGTGAAAGTCTACAAATTTATTTTGTTAGAGTTAAGAGGTTCTTTAGAGTATATGAGAATACATAGGGTGAACATTTGGAAAAGGGTTTTATACAAAAGTTAATGCATATGCACATGACTTATAAAGTCAACAAAATTATCTATTTCCCTTGAATTTTTAACACAATTATTAATCATGTGAGGTAATAAACATACACAAACATCATGTTATTAAGCAAGAATCAAAACATGACATGTTAGACAAATTCAAATTGGGAATGATCAAGTAATCAACAAGAAAGTCTTAAAAGAAAGTATAAAAGACATGTTTTTTTATTTTTAATAAAATAAACAAAATAAAACATATTTTTGATATTTTTCAAATATTATCAAAATACACACATAAATCAAGTAGCATGCAAAAAATCAATCCAAAAAGAGTTGATTTGCTCATCTAAAATCAAGTTGAAAGTTTAAGAAAAAGTTTTGAAAGGAGTGGCCAAACAAGCAACAAAAAGGAAATATTTTTTGGAAAAAAATCTCAGAAAACCGGTATTAAAATCTTAAATGAGAAAAGTAAACTTAAACCTTTACCATTAAAGACAAAAACAAGAAGGAGAGACAATAGAAAATAGTAAATTTGATAAATGGTAACATGAATAAAAAAAGAAACAAACAAAGAGTTAGAATACAAACAAATCCAAATAATAAAGGGTAAAATCAAAAAATTCTAAACTGAATTTTTTTTACCATTACAAACATCAAGGAATTAAAGATATACTTGAAGAAAGTGGAGTATATGAGTACAATCCCTCTTTAAGAACTTCAATATCTGAATCAAAACTAGGAACAATAGTCACATCTAGATATTAAATCAAAACCAAAAAGGGTATTTGAAACCCTAAATAGTAAAGTCTATCAAATCAAAACATTAAAACCAAATCAAAAACATCAACCTTGCAAACAAAAGTGATGAGAGGAGAAGATAAACGGTGGAGTGGAGGCTTGGAGAACGTGATAGAAAGGGCTAGGGTTTCATCTTAGAGATAGGTGATGAGTTTGTTTCATCAGAGAGAGAGAACGTGAGTGAGTGAATGAGAAGAAAATGTATGGTCTCCTGAGTATTACTAAGAGCACCCATATCCATCAACCTCACTTGAATTATTTAAATGAACCCACTCAATTTTTTTATATTATATCACACATTCTCATTTTCTAAACAACTCTACTACATTTTTCAAATATCCATACAATCTATCAAAAACTCTAAATTGGTCCCCTCCAAATCCTTCAATATACCCCACATTTATATTATATAAAATATAATTGAAATAATTTAATACAAATGTATCAAAATACATTAAAAAAATTATAAATTTAAAATAAAACAAAATAACATATATTAAAAAACATAATACATGACACAAATAATTTATTAAAAAATACATTAAAAATACATAAACGTTAAATAAATTACTAGCACAAAATACAAGAAAACAATATATTTAAAATATTTTTCAATTGTCGTTATTCTCACGTCCATAATATTGTCATATATGTTCTATCAAATCTTGTTAAAAGTGTTGATGAATTTGTTTATCATGAACATCAAATATTCTATGTAGGAACTTTTAAAAATCAATATTAGAATCATTCTGCAATACTGTCACATAATTACTCAAATGATCATAAGAAAAATCAAAATTTCCACCATATGTGGCACATTCATCTTCAACAATCATGTTGTGTAATACGATGCACATATTCATTATGTGTTAGAGGGTATCTAAGTGCCAAGAACATGCTCGGTCACGTATGATTGAAAATCAGGATTGGAGAACTCTAAATGCTCGTTCAATATATAAGCCCTCTTTAAGAACTGCAATATCTGAATCAAAACTAGGAACTATAGTCACGTCTAGATACTAAATCAAAACAAAAATGGGTATTTGAAACCGCAAATAGAAAAACCTATCAAATCAAAACTATAAAAACAAATCAAAAACACCAACCTTGCAAACAAAAGTGATGAGAGAAGAAGATAACGATGGAGTGGAGGCTTGGAGAACGTGAGAGAAAGGGCTAGGGTTTCATCTTAGAAAGAGGTGATGGGTTTGTTTCATCAGATACAGAATGTGAGTGAGTTAATGAGGAAAAAATGTGTGGTCTCCTGAATATTACTAACCCATGTCTAAGTTAGCTATTAAAACAACATCATTTTCTAATAATCATTCGAACAGGTCTAGATACCCATAGTCCAATATTTTCTACCCAGCCTGCCCATTTAAAACCATAATAGACCACAATTGTCACCCATTGAGCCTGGTTGGACCCGTCCATTTTCAGTTTTTCTGGTTTTCCTTCGGTTGGGTTGGGCATTCGATTTTATCCCACTCTTACTTAGAGAATACATATGCTTTGCACAGATTTATCAAATTTGCATTTAGCTCCTTCAAAGCTATAAATCATTCATGCAAAACAAATTAGTTTTTCAGCTTTATTACCCAATAATTTTGACTCCAAATGGATTAGTGGCTTTACGAGGTCTAAGGATATTTCTTTTAGACTATCTTAATTAATTAATTTAGCATAACAATAATGATCCAAATGACCGAGTTTATTACAAAATTTACATTTAAAGGCAGGATGATTGGATTTCTTGCTGACATGGTAAATATTACTAAATGGTTTATTGGGTTTATAACCTAATCCATTTTTATTATATGAAGCTCTTTGGTTAGATAAATTAAATCTAACTTATCTTTACCTTTAATGAATTTTCTAGGGTTTCATGCAAGTTGGTTACTTCAATTTTTTTTTTAGATTCATATGTTTCACATATTTTTTATTTTAAGGATGCATTTCTAATACTAGCTATTTCTTCACCAAAAAAATTTATTTCTATTTTTTAGAAATTGATTATACTCTTTAAAATAAAAAATTCTATTTTTTTAGTTTTTCATTATCTCTACTGAGCTTAACGCTTAACTTTGACATTTGATCATACACTAGAGATGTTACCTCAATTTTGTCATTTTCTCTTAAAGCTTTGAAGCATACACAATATTATTGTCAGATTCCCTTCTTTGAGAAGATACTTTAGGAAAATGTTTTATTGTGTCATCGAGGATATTGTTGAAGACATCTCTACATGAGTTTTTTGAGCTTGCGTCTCCATGTAATGAATCTCCAAATGTTCTTCCTAATATTTCAAAAATTCTTCTAGTTGAAGCTTCTTAATTATTTATTCTTCAAAGATTCTACTAGATGAAACTTCTCCATATATTCTACTCGATGAAGTTTCTTTATATCTTCTACTAGATGAAGTGTCTTCCTATCTTTACTAGATGAAGCTTTTTCACGATTTTCATCGGATGATGACTCCTCATAAGATTTCTCATCTATCGTGATTTTTCTTTTGAAAGACACCAATAGTGTTGATCCTTCATTTTTTTTTCTTTTGATGAAGAAGATGATGACTCTTAGAATGTTATTAAATCCATTAAAAGATTCATCTGGATCACGTCATTGAGTTTTTCAATAATTTCCTTCTTTCTAGATTTTTCTTGAAACTTTTCAAACACACTTCTATCTTTAGAATCAAGGATTGGATTATACTTCTAGCTCCAATTCATGAATCTAAGATATATGTTAAATACAAAGCTTTTAAACCAACCTTCAAATATTCCAAAGTTTATGCA